GTTTGACCGAATGGTTAAATCCAAACTTTAATGAATTAGTTAAGTTAATTAATTAATTCTAATTGGTGATTAAGGTCAATTGGTTTATTGTGTTGAACATAGAAACTGACCATCGCTCGGGCGGCTGCAGGGCCTGGTCAGTGAGGTTAAGACGTGCGCACGAGGGTCTGCGATCTTGGGTTTGAGGCCATCGCCCGAGGGATCCTACCTCCACCGAATTGAGGCCATCTTCGGTATTACGGATTGAGGCTATCTCCGTCATAGGAAATAAATGTTAAGTGGTTTGACTTTGGTGAAAGTCTAAATTGGTTTGACCGGTGGTCAAAGAGTCATGGGAAACCCGTAACACCTAAATCGTTTTGAAAAGAAAGAAAATAAGTTGACTATTGGTCAACCGTCTAAAGAACCGAATGTTAAGTTGAATTGATTTTTATTAAAAGGATAAACTTATGCACGATCTTAATTGTTGAATTATTATGTTTATTCTTGTGCTACAATGGAGTACCACTCAGCGTCAATGCTGAGCGGATAGCGTTGTTTTCTTTTGCTGTCCGTAGGTGATCAGACAGATGAACCTAGAGCCGATCCCAGAGGGCATTGAGGAGGAGATGTACGATGGCGTGGCTGTCTCTTTAATCTGTTGATTATGCTTTATTTAATTAACTTTAATGCTTATTACGTTTTCGGGCAAGATCTCAAGTTGTTTGACTTTAAAAAGGCTTCCGCATTATTTTAAATTACTCCGATGGATTTTCATATGTATTGAAAGAACGTTTGTTTAAAATTGTTTTGAAAATGTCGCAAATTCGAATACCAATTTAGTGGCACACCGGTCCGCTGTCTCACGGGTTTGGGTCATGCGGGTTGGGGTGTTACATGACACCAGATATGTTTACGCAGTTCGGAGAAACTCTCCTAGTCTGCGGGGCCCACGTCCGTGTAATAACCCTCCACTAAATCACTAGATGCAAGTTACACCGGTACATAACAACATGATGAGACGCACTTCTCCGAATTGTTATGACAAAACTTCTAATCCAGGATTTCTAACCCGTACCCTGTACAAATCCGCTTCGGCTATCACATCTCCACCAAGATCACGAGGACAAACGTGTTGGCAGCCCACTCGTTCAGTTCTAGTTCATCTCCTGGACATCACGATCTATTTGGCGTTGAAGATCTCTTCCTTCATGTAGATCGTATCCTTCTTCACGCATGGGAAGCTCCAGGACGCGACGAGAATGCTCTCCATCAGCGTATATTCTTTGTTTTTCCTCTCGATCGCTCCACGTAATTACCAGGGACCTGCTGCGTTTTTATAGGCTCCTCTTAACACAATCCTAGTAGGCTAACGAGTTGGGATTCCTTAGCATGTACAACTGGAGTTATTATCATGTAATCACAATCCCAATAGGTCTCTAATTCAGATTGCAGCTTAAAATCCTGTGCTCAGACCTCTGATCCCGCACACTGTGTTGCAGCATCGTGCTGTAGCATCTTCTATGTCAACCTCGAAAAGTGCAGCAACTCTAGAAGTCTAAATAAAATAAATCTCTCCTAACAAATAGAGGTTTCTACCTAGTAAAACACCTAACAAATATGAGATTCTATTTTGCCAAAAGATTAGCCAACACCATGGAACTAACAGGTAGAACTACACAATATTATTAAATTATTTCGGTATTCAATTTTTACTGAAATACCGACCTCAAAATTTCTACCGAACCAAATATTGAATCCTATAAAAACCTAAAACCGAATAATTATTTGATTCAGTTTTGGTACATACCAAAATTTTCAGTTTCGGTACTCTTCGTTCAATTTACCAGAATGTGCTCACCCATACATGTTGAGCATGTCCAGATCTTCACTATTAGCCTTATAACAAGCTCTACTACAACCCCAAAACCATGTTTGTATCCCTCTATCAGCTTCTATGATTAATTGCAGGTAGTTTCTTCCTTTCCCTTCATAAATCTGAGCGTTGTAGTCTTTCGAAAGGACGAAAGCTATAATATATGGAGTAATTAAATGAAACATTTTAGCAAAGTCCTTAGTATTAGAAGAAAACCATCATTCTAAACAATGTTGGGTGATATTGATTCCATTTCTCCATGTAGGTCCTTTGAATTTGTCAACAAAGTATGCCCAAGCCTTATTTGCTTTACAACTGGTGAGGAGGATATAAGTAGCATCTCCCTTGCAGTTTAAACAAATGTTTGGTAAGTTGAAGCCCAACTTTTTCAGATTATTGTCAAACGAGAGTAAATGAGAAAGAATCTTCCACTAGAAGATTTTAATTTTGGGAATATGAATATTGTTCCATGCATATTTAAAAGCCAATTATGACTTATTATGCTCTGTAACGACATTATATGCTTCCTTGAATGAGAATTTTCTTGTATCCCATTTGATTTTGTTATCCTCCTTAATAATGTGTTCTTGTCTGACAAATTCTCTTCCAAGCAACAAAATTATAACTTTTGGATTTGAAAACCCCTCTTTTGACATACTTTTCTTTGATAAATCAAGGCCAAAGAGTATTATTTATTTGACATTTTCACCATAATTTTAGAGCATATGCTTTTTTAGTATCCTCTAGAGATCTGAGTCCTAATCCATGAGTTTCTCTAGATTAACACAAGCTACTCCACTTAATCCATTAGTGTTTGTGTGCACCATCCTTGTTTCCTTAGAAAAATTCAGTCATTTTTCTGTGAAGCATTTTGAGAATAGACTTAGGCAGCTCTTGAACAGCCATAGTATGTACAGGGTTTAGCATATAACATATGCTCAATAAGTATTAATCTACCCATGGGATTGAGTATTTTGTTATACCAAGAGTTAATAAAACTGTCAAAATGCTAAAATATTTTATCCCAGTGCTTCGAGTCTACCCTTACAATTGGTAGAGCCCAGACATGTAAATGGCGCACCACAATAGATGTTCAGAACTTTACTCATTCTAACTCTACTGGCATTAAGATTTTTTTTGGAACAATAAAATCTTCTTTTTTCATAATTAACCCTTTTAATCAACTTATACGTACAATTCCATCAGATCGTAATGCTCTTAGGAAATGTAACAGGTTTGGTACCCCTAGACCGATAAAATGCTTTCAACGCATTTGAGTTCAATTGACTACAAAATATTAATTTACTACAAAATGTTTCGAGTCTTCCCTTACAATTGGTAGAGCCCAGACATGTAAATGGCACATCGCAATAGATGTTCATAACTTTACTCATTCTAACTCTACTGACATTAAGAGTTTTTTGGAACAATAAAAATTTCTTTTTTCATAATTAACCCTTTTAATCAGCTTATACGTACAATTCTATCAAATCGTAATGCTCTTAGGAAATGTAACAGGTTTGGTACCCCTAGACCAATAAAATGCTTTCAATGCGTTTGAGTTTAATTGACTACAAAATATTAATTTATAACCATTCTTAATGTTGGTCATTACTCCCCCATAACTACATACCCCTTTTGAACACACAAATTTAAAACATAACATACATACCTACCCATGGCGTTGGCTTTGGAGCAAAGTTCTCTAAGTATATGAAAAGCACAATGTTATTACTAGCATTGTCAAAGTCAAATGCAAACTTTTTATCAACTAAATTTTACTAATGCAAAAATACACTCAAGAAAATCATAATATTGTCAGGAATATGAGATTAGTGAACTCACAGAAAACAATAACACTTCTATGTATGATTCACTCATTATCAAGTATGACATGGTATAATTAATGATATGTTTCGTCTCAAATATCGGAAAAAATAGTGACACGAAAATTGAAAATAGAAAATAGATTACCAAAATTATTTTTTGACAATAACATTGTTTAATTATTTCTCTTTTAATTGGTTTTTTGAGAAACCTCTAGCTTGATGATTTAGTGTTGTTTGACATTATTGTACAAAGGGCAATGCTAGGGGTACACCAACATGGGGTACCCTAAATGTACACCAAGCTAACACAGACACACACAGACACAAAATGTCTGTGCAACACAGACACTTTGTGTCTGTGTGTGTCTGTGTTGGCTTTGGTGTACACTTGGGGTACCCCATGTTGGTGTACCCTAGCTTAATTCTTGTACAAAACCACATCAATTTGAAAACATAAATAGCAAATAAACCTTTGCAAATAATCTTTGTCATTCTTTATTTATTTAGCTCATCAAAACACATCCATTAGCTATACAAAAAATTGTGTTTGTTTACCTTAACCCTTCAAATACGCAAACTTGTTAGCATAAATATTTATTTACTACCATATATGTAATTAGTTTTCTTTGTAATTAGTTTCCTTGTTAGTAGTGTAATTAGTTTCCTTGTTAGTAGTCCTTTCCATACTTGGAGTAGGACTTGGCACATGTATATATACGTTGTGAATATTGAATGAAAGGTAGTTCAGTTTTTCCAAACTTCTACATGGTATCAGAGCCAATTTCCCGGGACCTTCTCAAACCCTAGGTTTTTTTTTCTCACGCACGGTGCCGCCACCGTTGCTTCGCCGGCCGCCACACCACGGTCGCCCCTCTTCGATCGGCTCACGTCGATCACCACCGCTGCAGCGCCGGCTCACGTCGGACTCATAATCACTGTCTCACGCCGGTACTATCTTCGTTTCCATGGCAAGCGAAGGAACAAAGAAGGTCAGGCTCATCCACGACCCTACCTCTCCGTACTACATCCACCCGTCCGAAAGTGCGGGTAATTCCTTGACGAAGCATCTTCTCAAAGGTGATAATTATGATATTTGGGAGAAAACAATTATTAATGCTCTAGAAGGGCGTAGTAGAGCAGGTTTTCTCAATCCTTCCGGGTTTCCTAAACCCACTGATGAACAAGAATTGGCGGCATGGAAAGCTAATAATTCCATAATTTGTTCTTGGATCTGTAACAGTGTTGATGAACACATCCAACCTTCCATTATCTCCCATAAAATTGCTCATGAATTATGGTTAGATCTGAAGACCAGATATGGAGGTTCCAATGGACCTCGTATTCACGAATTGAAATCTGAGTTTCAATCTTTGCATCAAAAGGGACAAACTGTAGTTGTCTACTATAACCAATTTGTGACTTTGTGGAACAAGCTATATGGATCTGTTGATCCAACGTGTGGTTGCCGGTGTGAGGCTGCGGCTTTGATTCGGGCGCGCGAGGAACAGGAGAAGACTCATCATTTTTTACTCGGGCTCGACGAAGAACAGTTCGGTCACATCCGATCTCAGATTATTGCCACCGAACCTGTTCCGGACATACACCGGGCTTATGCACTCATCGTTCAAGAGGAACGACATAAGAGCATTGTCCGTGGCCGAGATGACCGTACGGACGCTCTCGCCTTTGCCATGCAGCGTCCCGCTCCTACCTTGGGTCGTGGAGACCCCCCCATTATTCGTGCACACATTGTGGAAAATACGGCCATTCCGTGGATCGGTGCTATCAATTGCATGGGTATCCGCCTGGGAAGGGCCGTGGAGGTCGCGGCACTGCATCCGGCCGAGGGAGTCGCGGCGGTGGCAAAACACCGTCCGACGGCAGTAGCGCCCCTGGCCGTGGGTCTGGCCGAGGGATAGGATCGGCGACAGGGGGAGCAAATGCAGCCACCAATTCCAACGCCCTAGGCCTCACACCTGATCAGATGACTCGGTTACTTTCCATGCTCGACGTCTCTTCTTCCAACAAGGATACTGGGTCTAATGGTGAGGCATCGGCTCGTGAGTGGCTTATTGACAGTGGCGCCTCTCATCACATGACTGGTAATATCTCTTTTTTAACTGATGTGGTTCCTATAGCCCCCTGTGTCATCACGTTGCCCAATGGCACACAGACTACAGCCACTCGATGTGGCCGTGTGAGGCTCTCACCCGAAGTAGTGCTTCGGGGCGTTTTGCTTGTTCCTTATCTGCAGTGCAATCTTATTTCTGTTGGTTGTCTTATTCGAGATACCTCTTGTCTTGTTATTTTTAACAAAAACTGTTGTGTCATACATGATTGTGTCACGAAGATGGAGATTGGACGAGGTGATGCACACAATGGAGTTTTCCTGTTTCGTCCATGTTCTACAGCATTTGCTACCCAAGTGGATCCTTCTCTCCTTCATAAACGCTTGGGGCATCCATCTGTTCAAGTTTTGTTGTCTCTTATTCCTTCTGCGAGTAGCTCTAAACTTAAATTATTACAATCATGTGAAATTTGTTTCCAATCCAAACAAGTTCGTAGCTCTTTTCCTATTAGTTCCAATAAAGCTACAAGTGTTTTTGATCTAATTCCTTGTGATTTATGGGGTCCCTACACCCCTTGTTTAGCTACTGGTGCACATTATTTTCTCACTATTGTCGATGACCATTCTCGTGCAGTTTGGGCTTATTTGATCATTGATAAATCTGAAGTACCTAGTTGTTTGAAACAATTTTTTTCCATGATACAGACCCAATTTCATAAAACCATAAAAATTATTCGTTCTGATAATGGCACAGAATTTGTCAATCAAGACCTTCGGTCATATTATGCCACTTTGGGTGTTCTTGTTCAAAGTTCTTGTGTAGGTACTCCACAACAAAACGGTCGGGTAGAACGAAAACATAGACACATATTAAATGTCGCCCGCTCCCTTATGTTTCAAGCTCACTTACCTATTGAATTCTGGGGGGAATGTGTTCGTACAGCTGTTTATTTAATTAACCGTACTCCCAACAAACTACTTGGTGGTAAGTCTCCATTTGAAGTTCTAAATCACAAAGCACCAGATCTTAGTCATCTTCGAATTTTTGGATGTCTATGTTTTGTACGACTCAGGACATCCAACAAATTTTTTCCTCGAAGCACCAAGTGCATGTTTGTTGGGTACCCCTCCGGCACAAAAGGTTGGCGTGTGTATGACCTTGATACTCATCGTTTCTTTCACACTCGGGACATTGCTTTTGACGAGAGCACGTTCCCGTTTGCCGCACATCACACGCCGGCCGAACCCTCTACCTCCACCCCACATGCCGACTTTCCCGAATTACCCCTGCCCGCCCCACTTCCGGCTGCCGTCGTTAACGACCAGCCTGTCCAGCCGACAGTTGCCACCGAGCAGCCCACCGACGCCCAGCCCCACCCCCATACAGCCGCCGCCCCTCCGCTTCGTCCTCAACGGCAG